CATTAAAAATCCAACAAAATATTTTAGTTTGATAAATTCTGTGTGACTTAAGTGTACACTCCCACTTCTCTTGCTTCACATACATTTGGATTTGGATAGTCCGAAGAATTCACAGAAGTGTGGTGATTTATTTGTTCCTCTGAGGGAACCTTTGCTGACTCTATAGGAGATGATTGCCTTGTGGCTCGGCAAAAGCCCCGAGAACAAATGGAATGGAACCTAACTGTGAAGAAACCTTCGGCCCACGCTGGTGCCAGCACTATGCATCAGATGTTAAAGATGAACGCTGCCACACCTCATTTTTGCCAGTGTAGTAGGATCCCAGACAGCCAGGTCCCAAGGCGACCCCTGGCAGACTGGACTCTGAGAACTCTTCTGGAGTTTTATTGGTTAATACTTTGCCTGTGGAGCTGATGACGCCATTGGACTGGGTACATGTCTGGAAGCAGCTCCAAAATGGAGCTCTCTGAGGGACCATTCATTTTCCCTGGGATAAGGCTCTTGGTAAAAATGGGGAAGTCAAAAGCGAGGAAGGATCTTAGTGAAATAACAAATCCAGCTGGGTGTGATGGTTTATGCCTGTAATCCCAGCACTGGACATGCTGAGACATGAGGATTACTTCAAGTTCAAGGCCAAGCTGGGCTATAAAGTTAGTTCGAGGCCTACTTGAACTATACAGCAAGACCCTGTCCTAAAATAAATATATATTTTCAGTGGTTATATTCCAGGCTTTTTCGACCCTGAATAGCATAATGTCATTACTCCTGATACCTCTGCTCCATTTCCAGACATCTCGGGATGGGCTCAATCGGGATCTTGGTGAGACTGTTCCTCGACTCCCAGGAGAAACGCTGATTACTGGTAAGGAGCCTCTGGTGCTAGGATCGAGTAACTGGATAAACAGCGTGGCAAGGTCAGGTTGCTTGAGTCCCACTTGTTCTATACAAGACAGAGAGCGAGGCTAGCGTTGCTTAAAAGTGCTAATGGACAGAACTCTGCATTCCCGTCTTAACCAAAGAGTTCCTTCAAGAGCCTCAAGCTCATGGGACTGGTGATAGTCTTCTCGCTGCACCAAAGACTGAGCATGATTTAGGAAAAAATAAAACATGGATTATCTCTTGTAAGTCTTTTGCTAAAGCTTTAGGCTCTCATGCTTTAAGGTTATAAGGATAAAATAATAAGTTTTCTGGCCTATGATGTGTTGATAAAGACTTAAGGATTCTTCTCTTTGAGATGATAGGAGAAATATTGGTTTAAAGTCCTTCATTTGCCAGAAAATGGAAGCTAGTAATTTATAGGTAAAATTTTGATAGGCTATTTTTCACAAAAACTTCCTGTTAAGAGGAAAGTAGTAACTTGCAGGGCCAGACCGTTCTGCCTTTAGGGTACAGAATCACCTAGAAGCTAAATGCCAGTGTTGTGGGCATTCAGATTCTGAAGTCGAACACTCCCACACACTTGAGTGTACTGGGAGCCAGCAGGTTGTCACTGTTACAGGGACCATTCATTGACAGCCTGAGATCTCAGCTTTGGCTTGGAAGGCTAAAATACAGTGCTAATCAGATGAAGGTGCTAGATAGTGCCTTTTTGAATTAGTTACCAAGTACCCCAGGATACCATTCTAGCCTTGAGACGAGAAGTAGTGGGGTGTGCCCTTCCGAGATTCTAGAAAAGAGCAAAGAAGATATTTTACTTTTGATGTTGGTCTTCATGGGTGACATTTTGGGACTCAGTATCAGTGCCCCAGCAGACATGAGGTAGTCTTAAGTGTGTGTTCTTCATTAACACCAGAAGTGAAAGGGATTTCAAAATCATTTTAAAAATCAAAAGCTAGTAACACATTCAAGGGCATCCTTGAAAGTCAAGACAAAGACATGTTTCTATTATAACTAGCTTCTGTGATTTAGTTCCTCCTTATGCTTGATTCTACCAAATATGTCCTATTCTCTTGACCATCTGTTTTATATCGTTGAAATGCTTGAGATGAGTCCAGCTAAACTGTTCTGTGGACTTTTAGAAGAGAAAGCATATAGAGTAGCCAGGTGCCTACCTCTGGCATTCATTTGCTAAAAACGTCATCATGATATTCGTGTGGTTGGAGGTTGGCACAGCGCAGTGCCCAGTCTTGAGTCCGTGAGACTGCGTGTGGAATTGCCACCCTCTGCTTCCTTTAGTTCCAAGTCACTTTGACAACCACCGGAAGGTAGCAGCAGCAGCAGCGCCCTCGTTCACATCTGCTCTCGGGCAAGCTCAGGGAAGCGCTACAGGTGTCCAAAAGTGACGTGGCCCTCCTAGCTGCCCAGCTGCCCCGACTGGGCCTAGCATGGTAATGTGGGAACATTGCCGGTCTTGCTTTCCACCTCTTCAGTGATTTCAATCATAGTTATGCATAGCTGAATAGTTAATATTAAATTAGTGCCATTTGTTGTGTATTTTGGTATATATTTCCATTATTTTAGGGTACTTTTTTTATCTCACTAGACAAAGAAGTTATTTACATATGTCCTTTCAATGGCCCCATTAAGGGAAGAGTTTACATCACAAATTATCGTCTTTATTTAAGAAGTTTGGAAATGGTAAGTAAAATATAAGACCATAAAGATGACCCTAACTGTTAAAAATAATGCTAAACTGTTTCTCTTCTACCTTGCAAGACTGACTGTGGATCAGATTAACATGGGGGAGATAACAGTCGCTTCTCTTCATTTTTGCTTGTGCAGAGCTCATTTAACACTAACACCTGTTAATGTAAGGAACAATAATTTTATGGATAGATTTCATCCCTTACTAGTGGAGAGAGGTTGGTTATTGGATGATGTGCTAGTTTGCAGAAGTTAGTTTGGTGTGGAACACCTGTCCCTACCTGGAAACACAAAATGAGAACCACTCATGGGACTTACTGGGTGACCCAGATGCCCCAGGTGTTGTGCATCAGAATGCACGTGCCCTCGCTCCAGGCCCAGGTGTAGTTTATTGGCTGTCACAGGGGAGGCTACTGATGCGAGTTCCTGCTAAGGCCCCTCGCATTGGAACTTTCCCGGGGTTCGGTGAGCTCTAGGTAGCAGTATAGAACTTGCCCCTCTGCCTCTTGAGCCCAGGCCCATGAAATGTTTGCCACCACAGTTCAAGTAGGGTGGCACTGAGGGGACAATGACACAGAGCAGAGATCCCATGGAAGAGGAGGAGAGAATGAGGAGCTGCCGTGGCTGCCACAAAAGAACTGACGGTAGTTGGGGTGGTAGGTGTTGCCATGCAGCGTGACGGGACGGGTGTGTCAGCATAGAACAGGCCAAGGGGGAGGAACCATGTGAACGCAGCCCAGTGCTGGCGCGTGTGCAGGCCTCGGGAAGACCCTGGGAGAAATCTAGCTTTTGCTTTCTTGCTTTAGCCCAACAGTTCTTTAGGACAGTTGTAATCTAAATTAGTTTGCATCTTTTGATGTTTTTCTTTATTATGTTCATTATTATACCCAAATTGTGAAAAACACTACTTATTATCACTATTGTCTGAGCTGTGGGAGCACTGCTTGATGTGTCCCGTAGCGTGGTGCTAGTAGGCTCTGGTACGGGGGTCAGGCCCCGGAGTCCTGAGCCTGGGAGCTTTCCTTGTGTGAACTGATGCAGACATGAGTGAAGGTTCTGGTTTCCAGAATGAGAGACTTCAACAGCAGTGAGGGCATGTCAGCCCTTGGCAACAACTGGTAAAACGTCTACAAGTGGCTGTATGTGTGTGTAATCATAAAACGGTACTGACGCATATAAAAAAGGCATCTTTGAAAATTAATGAACCAAATCCATAATGTGCAAGAAATGGTAATAAGAAGATCTTAATGTCACAGACTTAGGGCATTTCAGACTAAAGAGAAATATACAGTATTTCCAAAAACCATTTCATGCATGAAAACCAAATAAATTTAAAATAAAATAAAATAGGTATGCTAGAATTATATTGTAGATATTTTCATAAACTTCCAAATAATTAAAATACAAGAAATATACAAAAGAGTGTTATTATTATTATTATTATTTTTTGCGGTACCAGGGATTGAACTCAGGACCTTGTGCTTGCCAGGCAAGCACTTATTCCACTGAGCCATCTCCCTGGCCCTACAAAAGAGTATTAAAAGCAGGATTTATGAGCTATTTTATTTTTCATTGGTTCATGTTTGGGATGCATAATATTTACACTCATTTAGAGGATCTGTATATATCTTATCATACCTTGATCATTTTGATCCTTCTTTTTCTCTTTCTCCCCTCCCTCCAATTTTGCCATTATAAACAGATGACTTGAGTACATGTAAGAGAGGAGCCATTGGGAGTGTTACTGAGTGTTAGCTTCATGGCTTCTAGGCATGCAGTGGCCACTGGTAAAGACACGGGGACACAATGACAGTGACCACCTAGGTGGAGGGGTGGACTGTGTATAGAAGGTCGAATGCGAGCCAGAAAGTGTGGTCACTTGCATCCCGCAGTGTGGGACCCGTTCTTTCCAGCACTCCTGGTGCAGTGCTTGGCCAACACATAAGGAGCATCATGTAGCCATTGTGCCCAGAGACAGAACTGGGCTGTGATGTGGTCTTAATTGCCTAGGATAGTGGAGTAAAATAAAGAGTATAAAATTTAGCAGAGATAATTTAGTTAAATCTGTTGTGTCATTAAGGGATGAAAGATACCTCTCTTAACAGGGACCCAAGCTTTTTTGAACCAGTAATTAGATTATAACTGGTGATAAAGCTAATCCTCCTAACCAAAGTTAATAGAATGACAAGACAGAATGGGCCATTGGACCCCAGCTGAAGCGAGGGGTTCAGATGCACATGCCATGTTTTAAGAGGGATGTTGACAGACTAGAGAGAGCTCACATGAAGAAAACCAAGCTCAGGAACAGATAAGAGCAATGAGCAATAATGGTAATAAGCGTCGGTGCACCTGGATGTGGTGCACACACACCTGGGACCCTTCGGAGGCTGTGGCAGGAAGGTCACTGCGGATTCAAGGCCAGAGTGGGTTATGTTGAACTCAGGGCCTGAACTACATTGTAAGACTCTATATCCAAAAATAAATAAATAAATAAAATGAAATAAAATAAAAACATAAGAAAAAAGTAAAAGAAATGTTGATGTTTTGTCTGAAGAAAAGAAGACTAAGGAGGGAAGTAACAGAGCCGTCTTTGACCCTCTGACGTGCTGTGGAGCAGGGATTAGACCTGCTCTGTACGAATTCCAAGGGCCAACTTGGGATGCATTAAGTTTATGGTGATGTATGAGAGTCATCACAAGTTAGACTTAAAACAAATGTCAACACGTTTCAAGATTAATGGGCATGTGTTGCTTTCATAACTGGGAAAATAGCAAATTTCATTCATTCTGTTTCCATATGGCACCTTGCAGACAGGGGCTAGCCTCTGGTGGGTGAGTGACGTGACCAGCTGCCAGTAACCTCTAACTTACTTGTCCTTCTACTAAACATTTATGCAAGCGTTTTAAGTAATTGGCCATAACATTTCGTGTCTGTATAGCAGAAAGCAGTTAATAGCAGAAAACGTCATGTCTGAAAGGCTATTTAGGGCTGGGGTGATAGCTCTGTGGTCTAAACGGCTGCCTGGTAAGTGCAAGGACCCGGGTTCGATCCCCAGTACCACATCCCATGCCAGCACCATGCTCAGCCGGCCACTGAGACCAGGCATGGTGGCGCACGCCTGTAATCCCAGTGCTGGGGAGGCTGAGACAGAAGGATCACTATGAGTTTGAGCTGCGTAGCAAGACCCTGTACCAAATAAATACATTTTTTAGAAAAGATTTTTTTAAATATGGCTATTTAAATGGTGTTTTGAGCCTAGAAAGCTACCAGTGCTTCTTCACTGAGGCCCCAAATAACAGCCTTCATTGTGGAGTGTGCTGCAGCATATGAAAACGGTCTTTTATGTGTTTCACAAAAGCTGTCGTCTCAGTGGCATCTTGAGGCAGACACCTGTTTGTCTCAGGTATGTACGCGTGACAGTAGGAAGAACGTGCCCTGGTATGTGCAGTCTCACTTTGGAGTCCATGTTCCCATTGTTTAAGGGGAGCTGAGGGGCCACTGTCACATCCTCATTGCCACAGCGGCTGCATCTACCCAGTCTCATTCCATGGTCTGCCCAAGGTCTGTCCTGGCCACTACCTCCACAGTGACGCCCTCAAGCCTGGTAGCACAGGGGTGCTTGGTTCTGCAGCAGTCCTTGGCCTCCTGTTGCCTGCAGAGGAAAATTGATTTTCCTTTCTATGGTGTAAACTCCTCCTCCCCAAACACCCTCTTATCTGACCTGCAACCCCCCACATGCATGCACCCTTCTCACTGAGCCGCAGAACCCCCTTTCCTGCCATTCTTTGTCTTCCCGAAGCTCCCTCAAGGAGTAGCGAGGACAGTAGGAGGTGCACTTCAAGCATGTTCTCCTTAGTGCTGTGTGCTCCGACAGTTGGGAAGGCAGTTGCTTTAGAGCATAGTGTATATTCCTTAGAAAGGTGAATAAACTATTCAGGTAATTAGACTTGAAATTTTTATCAGGCATTACCACATGAAGCTGTTATATGAGATTAAGTTGCTCGAACTTTTTATATTTTAATTTTTTTCTTTAAAATGAGAGAATAATAAGTATTGCTTACGTATATCAAGGATTGTGGGAAGTGAACATGTTTTAGTAGTTGTAAAGTTCATACAAGGTTGCGATCCATTTTATTTGTTCAGTGAGAACTACTTCATGATGTAGCCACTTTATTGTATTACAAATTTAACTTTGTGAAGAGTTTTCTCGACATGGAGAAATACTACCATGGTAGTAAGTGAAAAGCAGAGTATAAACCGTATGAGGTCAATTACGATTTTTAAAAAGTCAAAACAAAAAAAAAATACCAAAATGTTTGAAGTAATGATATTGTGGGCACTTTGCCCTGTCTGTTTTCTGGGTTTTGTTTTTAATTTTTATGTTTTTATATAATAAACATTTAACTTTTTCTTTTTGTGGCCAACTCAGCCCACCCTGGGGGTGGGGCTGGCATGGCGTGTGGTGCCGGGGATTGAACCGCGGTCACTGCATGCTTGCCTAAGCTTGCCTAAGCAGGCACTGTAGACCACTGCGCTATCTTGCTGAACATTTAACTCTTTCAAAAAAGAAAGCTATTTCAGAAGTCACGTGCTCTCTGCAGCCTTCTGCAACTGTCCCTGATAGATCCTTCCCTCTCTGAATCCCTGTGAGCCTTTCTTCATGGATGGCTCCTTAGCTGCACTTGGCAGCCTCCTTCCAGTTGTCTCTCCTGAGCACTAGGCACATCTCCAGCGGGACTCCTCTCTGGTTCGTCTTGCTCTGTAAGTCGGAGGATAGGATGCTTGTTTGCTTGTTCGCTGGTGCTCTCTCAGCTGTTAGGGGGAGCCTGGCCCATTGAAGGTACTCAGGCAGTATGAGTTGAATGCATGGATTTTGTCTCACTTATGTGCTTGCAGCTGTGACAGTTGCCTCGGGTGTTGTGTCCTTCTGGTCCCTATACCAGCTAGAGCAGTGTTCAGTACATATCAGGTGCTCAGAAAAAGTGTTTTCAATG